CCATGCAGCAGTGAGAGGGTGGGGCAGGGAGCCTGGTCCTGGTGCACTTGCCAGAGGCCTCGGCCAGTCCCACCGGGGGTTCTGAAGCCATGATGGCCTTGGGATGCCAGACTGGGGCAAGGTGGGGCTTGAGTGCCCCTCACCTGCTGCACATGTACCCCAGGGAGGGTGCACACCCTTGGGCGGGGCAGCTCCCACCACTCAGAAATTCTAATTCCCAGGAGGGCCCCAGGTGGGGGTAAGGGGGTCTCTATCCGACACAGAGACTGTCCAGGCAGAGCGCCACAGTACCCGCCACCCCCAGCCCACTAACGATGAGACACCCGTTATTTTCAAGTATTTATTATCTTCTGTAGTACACCTCCTTCAAATCATAGAACAGTCTGGTACATGCTTTTCCCGAAGCACAACTTATGCCCACGTCGGATGCCGCTTTTCTTTCCTTCTTTTCATCTTTTAGGGTGGACACTACTTGAATGGACGGAAAACATCAGAGTTCATTAACAGCATAGCTGCCCAGGCCCACCCAAGAGCTGCTGGCCGTGGGTCTGATGGGTCCCGGCAGCACGAGGTTCCAAAACTCCCCGTCAATCCCGCTGCGGGTGGCCCTTGAGCCCCCGGGTGGGACCCGGCTTAGGACTTGTTGGTTCTTTACTGGAAGCAGTTTCAGAAAGCCCAGGAAAAATGAAGTATAGAGAAATAGCTCTTCTATAAAATTTCCATAGGAAAATAACGGTATTTGCTTACAAAGTGGGAGATACTACAGGACAACGCATGGGGCGGGGTACTCCATCTAGCAGAGTCTACGCGGGCAGGTCGCATGTGGGGCTCGCACCCCTGCCCCGTGTAAGACGCCGAAAGCCCGTGGCTCCGCTGCGCGCTTCATGCGGAAAAGAGCAGTCCGCGGTTTTCTGGAATGCCCGGAACAGCACGCGACCCGGGTAAAGCATCTTCGGAGGGTGCTGGGCTCAGCCTGTCCCCCCTTCGGAAGTCAGTGCGTGGTGGTCAACGAGCTCCCCGGAGGAGCTCAGGGCTGAAACGTGGGCCCCGTGAGTGCGGGAGAGCGACCCCAGCCGGAACGTGCATGATGACAGGCCACTCGGAACCAGGTGCCCGTCGGGGGACGCGTGGTCAGCAGCGGGCGGGTCGAGGCGAGCAACTGCAGGGACGAGCTGGAGAATGTAAGCGTGATGTGGGGAGTTCCCGGGTCCCTGTGACACGACAGGAGCAACGCCCGTGGTACGGAAGGGCCAGCCGGCCAGAGCCCTGCTAGGGAGGACGTTCCTTCCCAGCCGGCTAAGCCCGGGGCCTGGGGAGTTCGGAGACCCAGAGCTGACATCACCGCCTCGCCCAGGGGCCCAGGAGGGGGCGCTCTTGTGCTCTTCAGCAGTTTGGGACAGGACGACGCTACCTTGAATGCCACGTGGCCCTTAGAGGAGGGCCCTGGGCGTTGGTGCAGACCCTGTCTACACAGACTCCGAGAACGGCCCCCAGCGATGACCGAAGCACGCCCGCCCAGACCCCTTGGTTATGTGAAGGGGTGCGATCTCTAACATGTAGGGTTCTAGCCTGATTTCTTTGTAAAGGTAAAATCTGAAGCAAACGTCAGGCTTTTTCCTCCTGAGTAAGCGACTGGCTTGATGTGAATTCGAAGGCAGGCAGGGGGCACGTTTACGAGTGCCATCGTGGCACCGCGCAGCCTTCGAAACTACGTAGCAATGATCCTCGGTGCTCGGGACCACCGCTCGGAGTGGGTGAGCTGGGGACCCACCTGGGAAACCCATTTTGGGGAGTCTAGTCTTGAGCTTCGCCAAAGCCAGTCCCGTGCACCATCCAGATGACCTTCACGTACCAGTGGGAAAGATCGACCTTTGCGGATCTAACAGCTTAGAAATAAGCGAAGTTCTCCCTTCTCAAGTGTTCCACGGTGGGGGTCCAAGCTGCGGGCAGCTAACCCTGGCCTTCTTCTGAATCGTCACAGACTCCCAGCACACTCGTAAGACCGGGTATGGGGTCTTCGGAAGGACTCAGTAATTCCACGTGCACGTTACCGGACAGAGTGGTGTGCTCAGAAGCTAGACATTTGTCCGTCCTGGATTCAGGACAAACGTCACACCCTAGCTAAAGCCGCCCTTCCCCCACGGTCCCGCCAGAATGTAGCCACGCGTCCCCCGCCACCCCCACCCCCGGTACAGTGGGGTCATCCATGGGCGTGGCCGTCACTGCCCCATCCCCAAAGCCTGGCACACTAAAGGCTCCTAAGCTTTACTGGCTCAAGGATTCCATCTTTATATTCATCGTCCATGGTCCGAGCTCCACCCTATACTCACCAGGTTTGGTTTGGTTTTGAGGTTTTGGCCATAAGGCACATGTGTGGCCTGAGACACAGAGAGAAGGAAGGTGAGAGATCACCCCCGGGGGGATGGCCACGCTAGCCCTTCTCCTCCATTCTCCTCTTGGGATTTTGGACTTGCACCCACACATACGAAGCATGGTTTTCAAGCTACCGGGTCCGGGACTCAAACCACATTTGACCATGTGGGAACCCAGCACCTCAAACACCACCCGCTGGCCCAGGGCAGTTTAAAGGCTTCCTCACAGCTCTGCTGGGGAGGGAACGTCCATGTGCGTGGAGGGAGCTTGATCGGTATTCGAAAGGCGCTTGAAAGGAATCCTCTGAGGCTGAGCAGTCTTCTCTGGAGCAATTCGGCCGCCGTCTGCCAGCCCGCCCCACACTGTGCCAACTGTCCCAGGGCCCAGTCACCTGTAGCTTGCCGTTTCTGTGACACGAGAACTGTGGTTTAGCAAACAGCCTTGCCCTTGCCATGGCCGCCGACAGGACGAGGAGCCCTTTGCAACACGTCTCATCTGACTGAGCTGACAGGGCCACTGGGTTTGGAGGTCGGGTCCCGGCATTACTTCTCAAATATGCAGAGCCGTAATAGGGAAGGGAAGGAGGGACCCGCTTTCATGCTGGAGAGGCGGCAGGAAACAGACCTGTCACTCCCACGTCTTTAAAGAATTAAACTGAAGGGTGCACAACGCAGGCGGTTGCCTGGTTTCCTAGGGTGGTGGGTGCTGCAGGGGGCAAGCCAGGGTGCAGCCCTCCTCGCCTGCCCACTCCCCGAGTCCCTCTGCAATGGGAAGGCAGGGCATGCAGACACCCACTGAAACTGCTTCCACCCCTGGGAGAGACAGGAGACAGCAGGAAGGGTGAAGGGAGAGTGCTAGGTGCTGGGCCGCGTGCCCTGGGGGCATCTGTGCAGGCTACGTGGAGCATGTGAGCGGGAACAGCCAGGCTGACCTCCCCAAAGCAGTGGGACTGGCGCCCCTAAGGGTGGTCTGTGTGCACAGCCACCCTGGGCACCACGCCCTCCAAGTCAGAAGCCATGACCACGCCCGGCCAGCACCCTCCCGCCTGATTTCTGTATGAAACTGTGACTCGGCGCAGGATGTTAGTCCGGGTAAGCAGGCAGGGGGACACAGAGGGTGACAGGGCTGGTCTTTCTCCACCTCCTTTCCCCAGGTCACGTCTACATGTACTGGTGCACGGCGTCACTGTGCCATGTCTCAGCAGTAACCTGGACATGTCGCCAAGGACTGGAGCTGCTTCCCGCCACCCACCACACACCGTGGCTGGACACCCGCGATGGGGCAGCACCTTGCTGGCCCCT